TAATCTCAATGTTTAACTGTGCGCCCACAGCCTCTCCATGACTAAATTACTTAATAAAACGCGCACACTCTTATGTAGACATTAGGCAGATATCAGTTTTGATGTATAATATATCTATTTTAAAATTCGTAAAATATAAAAAATTTCAGAATAGAAATGAAAACTTATATGAAGATGTTAAAATTATACGTTATATACAAATAATAAAATATACTTTAATAAAGCATATGTTATAACTAAGATTATGGTTAAAAGAATTTTAGAGAAAACGTAATATATGATATTAATCTTTCGCAAAAGTTACTTTTTTAATAAACCAAAATAAAGTGACAAGTAGGAATAGGTATAAAAATAGAACCAGAAATTTGTACGGCTTTCAAACAATAAAAGTTAAAAGAAAATGGCACGATATAAGTGTATAAATATAAAGACCAGCACATGTCATCATAAAAGCTTACACCAGCTACTTTGCAAACTCTACACATTCGATGTTTCCAAAAGAGCCATCTGTCCTAATTCATCGCACGTTCCTAAATCATCAGCCCCACACACAGAATATATTGATATCAGTTATATTTAAATTTACCAAAAGAATACAAATCTAACCAGTGTTTTCCTACGGTCCACATGTTCTCGAACAGGACTTTAAAATTTATCGCGCGCAGCCAGTGCCAAACAGAGAAACTCACGAAGTTGAACTCTGAGCAGGACCTTGACAACGAAAAGGAAGCGTCGAGTATACTATATCGTATGAATATTTAATGCAGCTGGGAAAAAAGGAACGATTGTATTTGAGAAACTATAATTATGACCATTTCAGAAATATTTTACGTATCGAGTGTTGTGAGACTGAGAATTGAAAGCGATTCTTTATTATTATTTACAAATGGTCCCGAAAACTGATATTAAAATCACTTCACGTTAATGTCGTTGTCGTAAAACTAACTCTTGTATCGTCTGATTTATTTTTTTGGAGTCCTGCCGCCTCTTTATTCTTTATCCTCCCGATGCTCTTCTAACTATTAACGAGCACTACTTTCCCTTTTTGCTGTCCGTTTACGAGCGTCGTTGTTTAAGAACCGAGCACATTTCGACGACACGCGAAATTTTTTGTGCAACCTGTAAGGTCTTTTACGATGACAATGAAGAAAAGATAAATCGTATTTTTAAGAGAATATCTGGATTGTGAATTTTAAATAATATCGAGCAAACGATGATACAATCTATGATAAATTTAAATTAAATAAAAAATTAATACGAACACACATACACAACACAAAGATATTCCTAAATTTTTCGCGCAAAATTTCACTCGTACTTGTTCAAAGCGAATTTTTATTCTTCTTGGAAAATTATTTAAAGATTTCACTTAAAAACAAATCATATAATGTAATAAAGACAAGATTAAGGAAGATTCTTTGAAAGACTAAAACGATACAAAAATGTAAATGTTGACACAAATGACCCAGTTCTTTCGCGATGTTTCAAAAAAGAAAAGGAGCCAAAACTCATTCGCTGAACAATGAATCCTTAAAGACATTTATCGCGTGATATTAAGGGAAAAGACCACATTATGGAATTTTTGTAATTATTGTAATGAACGAATGATCATTGTATGGATCTTCGGTTATACTTTTTATACTTTACCGAAATTCCTTCGAGGTAACCGAGCTTCCCGTTCAGGTACAGTTGCTATGAAAGCGAGCTTAGAATCTTGCAGGGTCATTGACCTTCTCTTTCGCCAATTCACTCTCCCTCTCGTTCGTTTTCTGGCTTCAAAAGAAATTCAAGGGTGAAACCGTGGGCTAGACACTGGTGGGATTTTCGATAGAGGATCCTGATCCTGACCGATGACAAGGGTGGCAAGGGATCAAGGAAAGGGAATCGGTATATAATAGAGGTAGCATTATACAGTGAATATCTTGTTTGAAATCTACAAGTTCGGGATGAACCTTTTTGCTTTCATTTCCTACATTATTGCAGTACTACATTATGTACGGTATGGCAGTACATTACTAATACATGGTATACAATGTTCTTTTAAATGTTTTATGTTTATGAAGAATTATTTATAAATTGTATTCTTTAGTACTATGATTACCAGAGTTTTGTCTAGTTCTATTAAATCTTTCCTACATTTTCGAAACGATCATCAAATAATTGTCTCTATTAAAAATAATTTACTATTATCAGTAAATGTAGGAAAATATCTGTTTCTTTTCAATGAAAAGACACATAAAGGCAAACAATTGTATTTATGAAAACGATAGTTTCTAATCTTTTTATAGAGCATTTTGATTCGGCTTTTCCTGCTAGTGTTATCAAATAGCAATTATAATTTACTGGATAATAATATAATTGTGATCGAAACACTGCAAATATGTCTTTATGCTATTATTTAAGTTTATTAAAGTTCCTTGCAAAATGTATTCAAAAACACACGTCAAAAAAATTATTTTTCTTATTTCAAATCTCATTTCTAATTTATTTATTTTACGTCCACCTTTTTTCGTACTACCAAAATACCGAAAAGAACTGTGGCTGTCATAGAACAAAAAAGATGAGGTATTAAAGGGGAAAGAAAAGACCGAGAGTAAAAAAGCAAGCCATGCCTTACGAATAGGTTATTTCCCACAAACGTGAAATCGTTTAACACGGAGCCTATCATGTCCCAACCTTTCTGCCGAGATTAATAAGTGGTCCTTTTTGTCATCCGGATAACTTGATGTCTTTGTAACTAAGTCGTAAAAAGAACTGCTCGGTCAGGTGATCGATAAATTCGTCCCAAACAGTTGTTTCTTACTTAAGGGAAACATCCCTTAGTCTTCATCCTTTGTATCTTTCGTTTGGGAAGAATAAATCTAATACATAATTCTTTGAACAGTCAGATTCTTTGAAATTTCTACACATTCTACATAATTTATATCGCGAATTTTCGCTTCGAATTAAACAAAAAGAAAGTAATTCTTCAAACCTAGAAAAATTCAAGAACGCTTTCACACTCAAAGAATCACTCAAGTACAAATATCGCAAGAAAGCTTTTCAAAAATCCCAATTCACTTACTCGAAAGACTCCATTCGAATTCATCGTGTTGATCCGACGACAAAGCTATTGAATCAAAGTAGATGCAGCAACACGCCAGCCCACTTTCTCAATAAAGACTGCATCCGTGACCGTCAAAAGCAAGTTGCAAGATTAATAACCTCTCGTTTTATCCTCCGGAGTACCCTTTTGTCTACAAGAGCCGGCTCTATATTTTACGATGGACGGCATTCTTCGAACGATTGATCGATGAGCCGACTCGACAAACGCGGCGTCGGCAAACAGTGAAAATTAATTAAATGACCGAGCGGAGCGCTGCTAATCATTCAGGCTATTCGTCGTGGCCGTAATTAAAACAGTCTTAACCTCGATCGCGAGTCAACTTCTGTTTAGCAAGGTAGTCGACATTTAATAGGCGGTTTTAAGAAGACCGATCGCTGCGGTCGTGGTAAAAGAAAACGCGTAAGCAAGAAAGAACGATCACTGGTACGATCGTTTGTGGCCGTTTCAAAATGAATTAGAACCGACGACGAAAGTGGCCATGATACTGTCTCGGAACGGAATCGATTTATCATATTCGATCTCTTAACGGTGAACCAATTCAACGAAGGCGAGAATTGTAGTGAAAATACGGTGTCCAGCACGAAATAGCGAGTCAGAAATATCGATCATGCCACTATACGGTTCTAATTGAGAGGAACTCTGGGAGCGTAAAGCGTTTATTATGATTACAAACCGCTAAGGTGAAATGTGGACGGTCGGGATCGAACGTCAAGGGGCGAAACTCGAGTCCGTAACGGCATACGAACCGCATAAATCGTATATTGAACGGTGCAAATGAAGCTTGAGAGAATTTGAATATCAATGGATGATGAGGCGCGTGAAGCGTTTGATCGTGGTGTTTGGTCAATTGAGTCAATATCACTTTGTTTTTCTTCGAATTTGTATATACAGGAAATTATCGAGGCACATTATGGTTCATAATTATTCGTACGATACACCTCTTATAATATTTTATACACTTTATATAACATTTTATATACTTTCATATTTTATGAAGTATCAAGTTTCTAATAAATTGGGTCTGTTACTTCAGTAGCTGTTTTTCGTGAAATATCAGATTAATATCTACTTATTGATATTTCAATCACTAACTACTCTCATCAATCAAAGGAAGACAGTTCCTTTAAGAAAATCTGTCGATCAATATGAAAAAGGGATGGATCTAAAAGGTGCAAACGCTATCCATTAATGTGCAGTGATGGAAGAGAATCATTTTATATACATATATATAGCTTGAAAAGGTAATAGCTTCATTTAAGATATAAAAACAGAATTATGCAATGAGAAAAATATAATCAGCTATAAACGTCGCATAAGGAAAGAACAATCAAATGGCAAGAAGTATGCTAGGCGAAATGAAGAACAAGCGTTATTTAAGCCGGAACCATCGGTAATATAAAAACTCATCATTATTTTCAAAATTCCATTATTAAGAAAATCTAATTTGTAGAAAATACTGTAGACTTTTAGAAACTACGTAACTATTTCAATTCTATGAATCAGAAACAAAACTTCAGCCTGATGTAAAATTTGATCCAAATAAAATACAAAATATTTTTCAAAAATATAGAACTATGTATATCGCTAACAAAAGCATTATTTTCATCAAAAATACTAAAAAATTCGCGTTTAAATTCATACTCGTAATAAATGAAAAGTTTATATAATAGATCCTAGTTTTTGTAAAGCTATTTTATCTGTTTCGAACTCCGAAACATTTCTATTATGCGGCCATAAAGTTACTAAAAGAAGAACATATATAGAAATACAGCTATTTAATGAACTTGCATGATGTTACGTATATCACATAACGTCTTTTTATTGAGAACAATATAAGCCAAACAACGATGTTCGACGATCAAAAAGCGATTAAGAAAGTTTTATCTTCTTATAGGGTGGCTGGGAGCAATGTCTACGGGAGTGGCTTTACTAGTTTCACCCGTAACAATAGCGTTCTGTCGGAGGAAAAGTATAAGACTCACCGCGGTTTTGGGTGGCCTCGTTACAGCACTCGGTTGCCTTTTCACTTCTTTTGCCTCGCAGTTCCACCAGTTGTTCTTCAGCTACGGCACAGTTGTCGGTGAGTCACTGTAAAAATACAAGGAATTCTCTACTGCTGTTTCTTTTCATAGAAACAAGAAATATGACAGAACTTATATGATATAACGATTCTTCTTCATTGATTAAACATCATCCATCTTTCATCTTAAGCAATTGTAACTCGACTTTTACAAGTTTTCGTACGTCACTTTTACCCTCAACAGTTTCGACACAAACGATTCCCTTGAATAATTCCTTAGATAAAACTTTACTTTGGGAAGAAATACAGAGGGATCGAGATAATGGCAAGTTCATGGACTGTGTTTAATTACTTTACGCAGGTATAGGGGTTGGCATGACGAGGGACTGTAGCACGCTGATGGTGGCGCAATATTTTAAAAGGAGAAGAGAACTGGTTGAGATTTTCATCGTATCCGGAAGTGGCCTTGGTATCGCTGTAATGTCGGTTTTCATAAAGGGAATGATTAGGTAACAAAAGAGATATTCTTATCTGAGCTATTACACAAAGCTCTAATTCATATTCATTGATATTTGTTAAGTCAAGCGTGATGTAACATAAAAATACTTGATTCAAAATGAAAAAGAGAAAAAAAATTTCCTTAATAAAAAAAAGCAAAATTATAAAAAATCCTGTATTCCGATTTTAGCAAAATTGGTTGGCGCTTAGGACTTCAGGCAGTGACGGGAGTCGTTTTCTTGACATTCATCCTGGGTACCTTTTATCGAAGCGCATCCTTGTATCATCCACAACGTAGAGCCATTTTACATTTGAAAAATCAAAAACGTAAAATTAAAGATAAAAACAAGACAGACGACAGACCACCGTTCTTCGACTTCAGTACGCTGAAGAGCAAAACAGTAAGAATATTGCTGGTGTCCACTGGAATATCTGCCTTTGGGATCAACACCCCGATATTTTACTTGGTAAAATGCGTAATAAATTTCTTTAAATAATTAAATGCTATATGTTTGGAATATTTAAAAGTGCAAAATTGATAGAATGCATATAATATGCAATAGAATTATAAAATATTCACAGCAAAGTGCTTGTTACAATGTTCAATAGGAGAAACAAATTTCTATATAAATTCCATTTTATTGATGGTATCTATAAAAATATAAAATTGCATAAACACCCGCAATCTAATAAGTGCAAGAGTGGGAAAATATTTTGAACTAAATTTGGTCCTCTAAATATTTTATTTCATTGTAGGCACATCAGGCCGAGGAAGAAGGTCTTGGTGACACGGTGATCCTACTTCAGGCTTACCTCGGTTTGGCCTGGACCCTCGGCTGTGTCGCCTTTGGCCTTTTAGTCGTGCATCACAGCGTCGAATGCAGGATAGCGCGTCAGTATCTTACGCAAGCGGCGATATTTGTATGCGGATTGTGCATTTTGGCCCTCACTGCCGTTCAAGGAAATTATCATGGATATGTGCTGTTCGCCTGGATTTACGGTACAGTATCCCCGCCTGTAAAAGTGCGTGAACACTTCAGAAAAAATCCTTTCAGGATAAACATCTAATTCCTACCTAAGTTCTCGACTCTTTTGAATTATCTATAACTATATATAATATGTTATATAATAAATATTAAATAATAAACTATATATAGTTTATTATTATGTATTATTATTTATTATTTATTATTATTATTATTGTATATATATAATATTTTTATCATTTCATCTCCTTTCTTTTTCTTTAATTGTATTCTTGTATTATTCTTCTACAAAGAATGTTTCATTGCAGATAGAGCTTTGCTCATATAAGATTAAATAAAATATGTAAAGCTATATTGAATAATGACAGTGACCTCGTTCAAAAAGATTCTCAAAAACCCTTCCTTTCTTAACATTGACTTTGATTAACTCACTAACGACTCACATTCTCTCCGAAATTCGAATTTTACCACTTCTTTATTATAAATTCAAGTTAATTCCGGTTTTAATTAAGATGAAGCATTGAATTTTGCAGGCATCTTCTGTGGTGGTTACCACTACAGTCTCAAAATGTACACCTATGAGAGAGTCAGAGCAAGAAATTTCGCAAGAACGTGGGGTTTCGTACAATGTTTCCAAGCTATACCAATAGCAATTGGAGTTCCAATTTCAGGTAAAAGTGAAATATTTAATTTGTTTGAAGAATGTCCTCAATGTTACTACGTTTTCAATGACACAGTATAACATCGATCAAGAAAATGTTAAGAGTATGAGATTTTTCAGGATACATGAACATTAACTACGGTGGGAAGGCTGGTTACTACTTCAGCTCGACCTGTGTTCTAGTAGGCAGTTTCACTCTTTTCTTCATAGACCTCCACAGAAGAAATTTATCGAGGCATAAACACATAAGATCTAACGGAACCAAGCATCTCTGCGTTTCGGATAATTGTCCACAACGCCGAAAATTGTCGTTTAGCCAGGAACCAGACAACGATGGTCCACATGTGGCTGCTGCAGGAGCTGCTGCGGCTGCTCTTGTGCTTGGAACTGAGATTGCACCAAATCCAGGTAAATTTACTCACTTACGTTATTTTTTATATTAATGTTGACTAACTTTTTTTGTCTTTATAATTAAAATCTTCGACATACAATTTTTAATATCTACTTTAAATCTCCTTTATATATCCTCGGGCCGTAAGCAAACCACAAAAGTTTAGGTTAACCCTACTGTTTCCCTCATTTATTCCTCACATTTGTATCAGTCATAGGATCTCCTCTTCGAATAAAAAAAATACATATAAAATTTAAGTACATTGAACACTAAAATCAAATATTTAAGGATATAAGATATAAATTAAGATTGAATATCCTAAAATGAAATAACCCAACTCAAATATAATCCATATTGCTGTGATCACATATAATTCAACTGAGGCTTACGATTCTAAAACCTCGAATTTTTATATTATATCTCAAGGGTCAATCAACTCTATAACATCAAAGAAAAAATCAAACCGAGATAGCAAACGATGGAATCTCATTGCAGGCGAATTGATCGACGGCCTTGCCCCGGAGAAGCCAGAATTAACGTGTATCTCCGAGGAGGGAATTGCGGATATGGATCTTCCTGACAACATGCTCGAGGACCTTGATTACATCGGAGACTGTATAACCTCGTGCAACAAGGTCGAGAATTATCTAATGCTGTCAGAATTCGAGAACAATCTGATAGCTGAAATGCCGATTATCACGGATCGTCGAGGCCGAAGGTGGTCCCTGGCTCGTTCAAAGGGTGGTCAATCGAATTTGGATCGATCCCCAGGGCCTCAACCGACTAACGAAGAGACCGATCCCAAGCCCAAGTGGCACGTGACGAATGTGCCTCCTGCTAATAGGGTGATCACAGTGATTGACGAAGCAAGCACGTAACTCGATCACCAGAATCCAAGAAGCTGTTAATACTCACTGAGGATGCTTCTGAATGAAATTTTACGACTTTTTTTATGTAAATGGATACTTAAATTGCTTTTTTTAAGTTTGTAATGTAATTTTTGTATATATATACTGTTTTAATTACGTAAAAGAAATTTTGATTTACTTGCATAAGTGAATGTGAATTGGAATTGTAAACACTGAAAATTAGTATTTTCCGAATTTTATGCAAATTGAATTTTGGAATAATTCATTAATTGCAATAATACAAAAAAAGGATAGATATTATTACATAATTATTGTTATGCGATGTGAATGGAGGCTCGAGAATCAAAATCACGAATAAAGTTTAAAAAGATAAAAAAAAATGAGGGGAATTATTCAAGAGGCCGACATTTCTCGTTATCGCGCTGCCTTCGATCGTCTGTCTCGTTTGTTCCTCTTTGATTTAAGATACTGTTAGAGATCATATTAGCGATACTTTTGCGAACGAAACACGTTAATCTGCGTTAAACGTCCCTATGGAGCTGTAGGAAATTCCAGTAAGGGTCACTTAATTCGCGGTGTAATTAAGGACAATAACGTCGGCTTTCGACGAGAGGAACCACGGAAACGTTCCGTCCACATGGAGATAACCTCGACTCCCGTCGACGTCTTTGTTTAAAGCTTCGTATTAGTTCACTGCCACGCGTAGATGTGTGAATCGAACGATCTTTCGTCAATTTAACAAAAAAGAAAGACAGGACACATTCAAACAAACAGCTCAAGTTTCTTTATTTTAATGTAATTTTTATTTTAAAAATTGTGAATCATAGAAAATTAAGATCTTCTATTAAAAAAAGGTTGAAAAATTGAAACTAAAATTTTGAATAATTCTGTTAAACACAAGATTGTTCGATTCATGTCGATGTAAAAGTTGCGACCCAGAGTCTTTTTCGAAGGAATCTGCTTGCACGTAGGCAATGCTAGCTAAAGATATTGAAACTAGTCCAAACGAAATTCGTATGCAGCGATAAATGGTATAATATAACGATACGAATAAATATGTAGCCAGGTACAAGAGTTGATGGTTGTACCATTGTATCGTTCGAGGCATTTTAAGAGAATATTCATACGTGCAGCGTTTCTCTTTCTGTGATCGAGCGAATCGCGATCGGTACAAATGCAAAGAGATAACAACACTATTTATTTATCAAACTATTTATATTAGAACCATACATACGCATGTTATGTACATATATATACATACTTATATACGTGATAATAAGCGTATGCACATGCGTGTGGTATTACAAAGTAGATTACAGTTAAAGAGCCCCGAAATAGTCGATTAAGGACAATTTGAAGCCAACAGTATATCAAGGATTTGTACAGAGAAACCAAATTGGTATTACAATTGTAATACCTTATGCGATCGAGCCATAAACACTATAATTTTATTTAAAGAATCTATCAAATTAATTCATTAAGGATCAACATTGCGTTGATACAACATTCCATTTGCAACTTTTTCCAGTCAATTCACGTCAGTATATTCTATTTCAAGAAAGTTTTAAATATTTGTTTCATCTTTATTTCTTCCTCTACTTAGATTCTAAAGTTTTTATAGTATAATAGTAACATTTTTAAATTATGCACATTTTTTAAATTATGTAAATTTTGTATGTATTACAAATTTTTTCTGTAATTTGTATAATTAATTCCTATATATACCGAGAATTATTTTTTCTAATCCGTAAAGTATCTATTATCAGAATAATATTGCGTTTTGCAATTTTCACATATTATTTCATTACTTGATCCTTAATGAGTTAAAAATATCATCAAACAAATAGCCTGATGAATATCTAATATAATAATGAGAACCAGCCGGAGAGTATTTTTAATGAAATATTATTTTAATGACTCGACACCTGCCTACGCGACGTCGCGTTTAAGTTACGTTTATCATATTATTGTTATCACGATGATAACGCAAGGCTACTAGTCTAACATCGTAAAGAACAATAATTTACGAATTACTGTTTATTACACGCTGCAGCAAAAGAAACAACACCGAATAAACTGCCTATATTGTAATATTGTAACGTTGTTAATACAGAAACATGATTTTATCAAATACCTCGTTGTTTTTGCCTTTCTTTATTAGGAATTTATTCCCAACATAAAAATAACAATAAATGCGAAAACAGTGAAATACTTAAAGTAACAAAAAATTAAAAAATATAGTGTGCACGTAAAGCGATTCTGTCAATATTTTCCTTCGTTAACCTACTTTGTGCATACATGTCTCTCTGCAATTAACTTCTTAAAGCTGAGATAACATTATATATAGCTTGACTTGCAATTTTCCTCGAGATACGAAATGTATCTTCCTTATTCTTCAAACTTTTAAACATATAATCAATTATTAAAAAATAATTTTCTCCGGTTAAATAGCTTAAAAAATATAACGTTCATTTAGGAAGAAATGAAAAGCATTTCATTTATTTAACGAGAAGAAATCATAGAGGAATTTCTTTCCAATTACGACTAGAGAGCTGTGTGGAAGGAAATCAATTATGCAATTGGAACAGTATCCCCAAATGTTCCATTACGACATCGGTGTACGTAAGGCTGATAATGCGGCGTTAATTACGAATTCTTGGTAGCCGACAGTTGAACATTTGTTACGTGCATTGGCATGCGAGAATTATCGAACGCGACTCAGCGTGTACCAGCAACGCTTTATCGATAAATTCTAATTCTCTTTAGTCGCGTTTTGGCCATGCTAAATGTAAGTTTCGTTGACTAGCAAACCTACAAAACATATTTTAAAAAAATTCTTCTTTTTATCTAATCTACCTCTGCATCGTTATCTATGTTCAGAGGCACGCTTTGAGATTCGGATCTCTAAAATTACGCCAGTCGAATGAAATATGGAAATTATACAGTTTGCAACATAGTTTTGGTGACAGTATTGATGATGCTTTCGACAGGATTAAAGTAATTACGGTATTAAAGTATTAATATTAAAGAACCTCCAGAAAAAAGAACCCATAAAACAAAATAATGAATTAAATAAATTAATGAATTAAGCAAATTTGAGTTCCAGTTTCTTAATATAGAATCAAGAAAAATCAATTCAATATAGAGTATGTTCATAGAATTATGTTGAATATAGAATATACTTATATTTGAACTAAAATTAGATGAGTTTGTAACTTAGAGATTGGAGAATTCGTTATACTTGTTACAATTTAGGGGATTTCAAGTGACTGTCCTCGAGAAGGAAATCGATTTGTATGAAAATGAGACAGACTTGATCGAGAATGGAATCAGGCGGTGCGTTAATTGCTATGCAATGTAATCGTGTGCGTTAATCGGTGATCGCCAGGTTGCGTAGAACAAGAGGTACGCTAACAGCGCTGATGAGCAGTCGCTCCAAGGCGTCCCATGAAGGTACCCCCTTGGCGTAGCTGCAGCTATCTCATCTAGTGAAAAATAATCCCAGAAACCCAATTATATCGTCGAGGTAAGGAATTACATTTCTGTGGGAAAGATTTACTTGGAATAAGCAAAATTTTACTTTTCATTTTACTTTTCTACCAGGCAACTAATTCGAAAATAATGGCATTCTAACTAGCATTTCTTTGCCGTAATATTTAGTCATTATTTTAAATTATCTTTAAAGCCTCTTATCTTCAATTTCAATTATAAATTGGTGAAATGAAAATTTTTCGGTGGCTCTGCAATAAATGCTTTAAACATACTTGAAGTTTAAAATTGAAGTAACATATATTGTATCATAAAAATCTTACTGTACTATACTTCTTAGTTTAAGATTTTTATTCAGTGAAACTATATTCGTTTACGAAACTCAAGGTATCTGGAAAGTGATAGTACAGTTTGGTAAAAGACACGATATTTTTCAGCGCTTCGAAACGAACGAGTGCCAGGATGTCCTACGGAAAGTTGCACGTTCTTCCACTAAGTCTCTTTATTCTGATTCCGGTAACGTTTCTAATTACGTAAGTCTACCAAGAAAAAATGAGCTTCAACGGAGAAAACTGAATTCTTGGTTAAATGATCATATTTCCTTCATCTTCAATTGCATTAAACTTTACTTTCAATTCTTATTACAATATTACTGTAATCAAATTTTTATTATGATTAAATTAATTGTCAAAAATTACACATCACCAGTACAATATTTTCTTATAAAAATGTTGCTTATTTTTAATCTTATAGTTTATATCTGTTGCTGTCGTTCAATTTTTTGTATTCCAATTTTATTTTAGTTTCCGTTAAGGAAACCACTTACGATATTTTAAGGAAATTTTTGGCATAGAATTGAAACCAAAAGCCGTATCATAATATTCCAATAACGATTTTTCAATATTTTCTTCAAATTTGAGGAATTTCTCAGCAATGGAAAAAGACGATTCGAACGAAAATGACTCAAAGGATGCAACAGAACAAGGTTCGGTGATTAGAAATATGGATTCACATTAACACAATGATTGCCAATTCATAGCAAAAATAAAGCCGTAATCAGAACGAGTAAAACTAATGCTTACTAACTAGCTTTGCGGTCGATCAAGGCCACGGTATCAGAAACAACGACAGCCGCGCATTCTGTATCTGACAGCATGATGTAAATCGCGATTAGTTTGATTCATTATGTTCCGCTGTGTACACTTCGCAGGGATCATTGTTCTGTAAATAAAGACACATTCAATCGTCCATGTGACATTGAATGGATTTGCAATATCGAAAGCCAGCATACTTGTTAAAAGTGCTTCTTTTATTAGGGAAAAATTCTAGCGAAATTTAAACTTATCGTGATTTATTACTGAATTTAACTTTCAAATGTGATTATGTTTTACTATTAGTATTTGGCCATAAATGATTATTAATTATTAAATTGTTTAATTTAGAGAAGAAAATTTGTTTCATTTCAGCTGAGCATATATAGTTTTCCGCAGAAGTTGTCGTAGATCTTATGACAAAGTCATTCTAATTTAAAGCAAGCATATGTAATATATTTATTTCTTAACCAGTTCTTAGTCATCTTGGCAGAAAATGCACTAACTTCAGTATGAAATTTTCTAAGAGTTTATTTTAACAAAATTGGTCTTTGTGTAAAATGTACGAAGATTTTTGCAGGTCACTGTATTATTTTAAAAAAAGCTTCTTACATTGCATTTTCTTACTTACTACATTTCTAAATCTAAATTATTCAATATTATTTTCTTTGAGCATTACTTGGAATTACGTTATCGGTACATCTAAAGGCTACATCTATAATTTATATCTACAATTTATGTAATAAATGAACTATAATCAAAGTTTAACTAATCCCCTTTTCTAAATCAACACTCTACATGTAATATACGAGCATCCATTTTCAAAGCAATTGCATTTCAGATACACTATGTCGGTGCAATGGGACCACGTAGTACCAGGATTTCCGTACATATCGGAAACAGGCACCTTGTCTCCGGAATCGTGTATATTTGCCCAATTCCTTAATATAGCTGCATTACTCCGTAAATATCAACTAGTTTTACGTTTAAACGTATATCTACCGCGGTTAATAACACTGCACATGTATTTTAGTCGCCTGTTGCGTATACATTAGACATCGACAAGTTTCCCAATGGCAATTCGAAAGGGGCAACGATCTCGTTAGCAAGAAAATCGTTGTTGTGACGGCATGGTGCGGCGTTCTAGGTTGCTTTGGACTCGATATTCTGGCGAATTTTCAAGAAGCCCGTGTTGTCGCGGCTCATATGATCGGAGCAATGACTTGTTTCACGGCTGGAACCATTTACTTTTGCCTGCAGGTACGGTGGATTCCTTATAAATGGATAGAAGAAATAAATTTAGAAAGGGAGTTTTTATTGCCAACAATAGTACGTATCACTTGTTTCACCCAGATATATTCTGGAAATTTACTCCTGTGTAACAGAGCATAATGAAACAAAATAGTTTTGAAATATGACTATCTGCTTCTTTCTCATAAAGATAGGAAAAAACAATTTTTCAAGAAAGATGCACACAAAATTTTACATTAATCAGTTAAGTAGGGTTTCAAAAAATATAGATTTAAGAAAAATGCATTTGAATATCTTTTCGTGTGCCGTCGAAGAGCTATAACATCGTTATCTTTAGAACCTCAAACAAAAAGTTGTACACGTGTATTCATAAGACTATATTCTTTAATTTAAAAAATGTTGAGAAGGTGGACCTTCTCGAAGATCTAAAATAAACTATCTCCTTAAATTTTGTACACAAGAAAAAAAACAATACATATTTGTTACATATATAATGCTTTCAGACATATTTAAGTCACAAAATGGTACCAGCAGTGAATGGCAGAATTGTAGTATACATTCGTGCAGCACTTTCGGTGTTGACGCTAATTTTGACAATTACCACGATCCTACCTGGCTACATTTCAATGTTAGAATTTCAAGGTGACATTATTTCTCCACTTGCCTTACTTGAGATATGATAATAAGCGGGCAGACAATAATATGTGATAATGAGGTTTCTGTGAATTGCAGGCGATGATTACAAGAAATGGCTACCAACCGACGGTGGCTGGGCCTGGCACGTCGCTAGTGCCATTTCCGAGTGGGTTCTAGCGATTGTATATTGCGTTTTCCTGCTAACGTTCGTGCCAGAATTTCGATTAATCAATTTCGAGGATCCTGTGGTTACGGTACTTTTTTCTTATAACATTATATTTAATACACTGTGGCTCGCGAAACCAAAAAAATTAGTATTTGTACTAAAAATGATCTTATTAAATATTATAGCCTGTTAATATAGCGAATAGTTAATTGTTCCAATACTTCGATGATCTCTGAGAAATGTATACTTGCAATAAATACCTCGCGATACTTGTTTCATTATAGTGCTAATAAAATTTTAGTAAGTTCTCGGTGATAAGTGTTCGAACATTTTCGCGAGCCATTGTAAATACAAGTATATATCACACGATAGATACAAGCGATTAATATTGCACGTTGAGTCATAATTTACAATATCGTGCTTCCTCTTTGTGTTCAAAGTTCCCAAACAGTTATACCATAATCATGATTCAATTAATCTTATCGGAGCAGAGTTCAATCAAAACAGCGTTAAAATAATATCGCAATGACTTCCAAATCTTTTGTTTTCAGTTGATATATCTAGACAAGGATCAAGATTTGAAATTACCACACAAGCTAAATCCACCAGTTCAAGAATCCTAAAACTCCTCGAATATTCAAGCATTAAATTATCTTCCTTCTAACGTATGCATTTGAAGATAATTTCTAGTAACATTACTTTTAATTGCTTCTTTGATTCAACCCTCTATAACACCATATAACTTGGAAGTTATATACATTTTGGAAATTTTATTTTCTGCTTATTACTAGAACATTACGCATGTTTATGTAAATTCATATTTTTATCAACACAACTAAAGGAGCGAAATCTGATTATGATTTTTTTCATTCTTTAAGCATTAAATACTTTAGTTTGTATATTTTTGTATAATTATATCACATATCATATCTTTCTTTTATAAATCGAAAAAAAATCTGATTATAGAGGGTTAACACCACGTTTAATGTTTACAAAATTCTTTAAATTATTCGTGTGAGTATCTTCTATTTCTTTTTCTTTTCATTCAACAGTTTGCTCGATTATCACTGCAGCTGATCGCGTTATCTCGATTCACACCTCAATTACTGATAGATACCGACGTTTCGTTGTTCTTGCGGTCGATAAAACCCATCACGTGAAATAGTAATCCCCGATGAAGTTGATCGAACAAATATTCAAATGTCTCCACAGAAGAGGACGCGAATCAACTTTGAAACCCGCAAACACGGTAAAGGTCATCATCTACCAGCATTAAAGCAAAATTTGCTGTTTGAACGTTCGTACTACAAATTGCTCTCCATGGACAAACGTGATTTATCTTTCTCTCTATTCACTCGATCAAAGTTACTTCGAATAATGCGGAAATTTTGCGCGAATCTTGCCCTGAAGTATTACCCGCGACCAAATTTGGATGTCGACTGGCACTCATCACGTTGTCAATTGTCAGTCGATACCTGCAACTTCCTAACCAAATTAAAAACTCCTCGTTCAACGAATCAATGAAGATATAGATTTCCAATCCATCGCTTCTCGAATTTAATTTGTAATATGAATGAAATTTTTATCAAAAAATATCGTGTGGTTTGCTTCGAATCGATTTTAATCGCAGAACGAAGCCTGCCGTCCGATCACGCTCGAGGAACATGTTCGAGGAATTCCGCCTCGATATACGTATTCGGTTTCAATGCGAATATTTGCGTCTCAACGAGTTCGTAGAAAAGTAGAAAGAATTTGCAGAGTCATAAATTCGTTAGAAGAAATTCATCCGGACGATCGTAAAGCAAAAAGGTGATTATTTAACGGTATTGATAAGCGTTACGTCTACATGTATGTACGCATTATCGCAACACGTTCGCGAGTAGTATTAGGACAAACGTTTCTTGGAGAACGTCTGTCAGTAACGACGACGGCGCGGCATCAGTCTCGTGGCGCAGCTGCTGAGAGCGCCGTTCTCGCTGGCACAACATCGATCGCGCACAGTCGGCCATAACCTCTGTGATTCTGCTCGCTCTTCACCCTGGCCTCTCAAACAAAAGCTCGAAAATCACGTAACTACGAGAGAACCGAAAGAAAAGGAAATCAAGTGGAATATCGTACTTTGCTCTTCGTACATCGTCAACGACATAGTGTAAAGAGTGTTAGGTGTTGTCGGGTGCTATTGGATAAGAAGACCTTCAACCGTGTGCAGCCCCTTCGAAAGAGTTTCTAGTTTCAGTACGACGAGATAGTTTGTGGAAGGAACGTTGGTGCTCAAGAGACAACGAAAACGTCAAAGGTACTAGCAATTTTTTTCATGTCCATATGAGTTGGAAGAATCGACTGTTTTCGAGCGTCGTTGCTACGTAAGATTGCTTCGTTGCAAGGGTTCCCTTTCCTCTGTCCCTAGACAACGCCCGCGTGAGAACGCACACGTCGAGAACGGCACCTCGTGCAGGCGTTTCGAGTTGTGTCACTCTCTATTGTCGGCGAATACTTGCGGCGACCGCGACGTGTGCCACGGACACTTGCTGTAGTTTTTCTGGTAAGACACCGTGTACGATATTTCTGGCGCGCAGCTTGTGATCTACTTTCAATCGTACGCATGTAGTGTAATATACAGTATAATGTAATTTATTGTAGTATTTTACTATAGCATTATCATAGTACTATGATATATTATTGTAGCAGTTAAATATAGTTATGCAGTGACTGGCACTGACTCCTTTCGTGCTTTAAATAGAGTTGCAAATATTTACCACTGACAATATGCATATATGTGTAGTATATACAACTCGACAGAATTCACATATTTGAAACATTCTAGATCAAAATATAACTAAAATTCATAAAAACAGCGACATTGAAAACAATGACATTGAAAACAATACGAGCACGTTTTATATTAGGTTGCCACGTGACATATTGTTATTTTTTAATCAAAGGTACGTCGAAGAAGAACGTTAATGGCAATCGAATTGCAGTGCGGCCGCAGCTCCATGCATTCTAGCGACTGATTCCCGTGGGAAGGAAGTAGAATAAGAGGTCCAGCCTCTTGGAACAGACGAGCATGAGTGCTCGTACCTTGTGGACGCGTGCAACGACGCGTGTGTCTCCACGATAGCGGCGTCTTCCGTGGGCGTCATCATCTGACGTCATTGGTTCCGGCGGGAAAGCCGAAAATAACCACAAACGCACACAGGAAACATGGACAAGGAGGATTTCCTGGTCAACCTCCATTATCTTCCGATTATCCTGTTCATTTCGTTGCCTTCTGTCTTTATTTTGACGTAAGCAAAATTATTGCTCGATAATTATGAAAGAGTTGTTAAACTGGTATTTTCTTCTTTGTTCAAAATAATCCATAGTGGTCATTTTATTTTTATTGGTTTCGTTAGATTTCGTAGATAAACAAATTTTGTTTATATGCAGTCAGTTTTCTTTAATTTTGATTGGAGATATTGTTTTCCTTTACTAAAAAATAATCCATAGTGTTCGTTTTTTGTTATTTTGTTATTTTTAGTTATTTTGAACTTTGTAGACAAAAGAATTCTGCCTGTGTGCAGTCAGTTTTGCTTAATTTAAATTCAACGTTCGAGAGTTTCCTTTTTTTATTTTCGACGCACCATGTGTGATTGAATGCAAAGTACAAAGCATAAAACATTCTCCGTCGGAAATTTGTTTTGCAAATTACGCAGATCTGCATAGTACACTGCGAATACTAGTTTGCAGATACTGAAACACATATAAATAAACATGAAGATAATATTCGATCTTTATTATTGTATATCACAAACATATTCCGATTAACACGTGACTACATAGACGTCAAACAATTCATAAAATAACATATTTAGTAGACCAAGACAGTAATTAATATGCTGTGTTTTAATCTTTTACCGTAAGCAGATATAATATTACATTAACATATGCTGAGACGACATACGGTTACTTAGACTGTTTTGCATCTTGTTGAATATGCAGATAACTTCTTATATTTGTAATTAATATTTATTATGTTTTCTGTTTTGCTATATCTAATCCTTAAGTGCAATGGAATATGTTATGATTTCTTCATTTTTCACAAAGTTTTCAGTAAAAAATTTGTAAATAAATATTCCGATAAAAAAGTATGGATTTATTTGTATTTTGCAGTTACATAATAGCAGTTCTATTGGGTCATGTGGAAGCCGAGTTTCCTTACATCTCGGATGCAGCTACTTATGCACCGGAAAGCTGCATATTCGCCCAGTTTATCAACATGATCGCGATGCTCAGTGAGTGTCCAACATCAACAAATGTATTTAAATCTTCGATACACTCGGAGGAAGAAAATCGATTGATACTTCGCACACGGTACACTGACCTCGATTCTCGTTCACTGGGAATAAGCGAGAGTTTAGCGAAGCAAAAATAGCATTTGTTTTCGGAGGCGATCGTCGTTAAACTTGGACTCGTAAATTTTAAAAGAGATATCTAAACCTGTGCAAACAACGAGTGTCTCAGTATCGATGAAAATTGTTTGATGTAAAAATAACTGATAGATATATGTGTTATTTGTATTATTGTCTCTGTGATAGAATAATCTTAAAAATGATAATTAAGAAATATTGAACGCAACATACTGCAGTATCATATTGATAATTGACATTTTGTTGAATCGTTTCAGTGTCGTTCCTCGTCTACATAAGATACTCTCAAGTGAAAGAATGTTCGAGTACGTTTAGGTTGCAACATTCTCTACCGAAATGGAATCATTGGGCCTTGATTTTTGGCCTAATATCGACGTTTGGCCTCTCGGTGGTCGCGAACTTTCAAGAAACATCTGTCATAGTGGTACACTTTATTGGCGCTCTTCTATGTTTCGGTGGTGGAACTGCATACTTTTGGACACAGGTACATTAAAAAATTTTATTTCAATAAGAAATTGCAATCACAAAATGTATAGGTACAGGTCCACGAATTAACTATTTTACCTAACTATAATAAAACAAAATCGACAGTTCTCCTCTCAAATTATTCCAATCCTTATTATTATTATTCCATATCCAATCTTTATTCTACAAAATTTAATACCCATGAGCTTTCATTCCACATAGTTCAATGAAACGTGGCTTTCGAAATTTTTCGTTCTCCTCTCGAAAAGAATCCAACAACTGCCATCCGTCTGATAAAAATACAAAAATTAAAACTAGCTGAAAGATCGTGGATAAAACACTAATGTCACCTAATTGGATCGTACTAAATGAAGTCTAATACGTGGCTTGCGTAATTTCCTGGAAAGCTGATTTATTCACGACATTACATTGTCTTTCGTTGTCTGGCTCTTTCTCATTTTTCATGCGTTTTGTTCGCAGGCCGTGTGTTCGTTCTACCTGCATCCACTCGGATGTTCGTTGAAACTGGCTCACCTTCGGGCGGCATTATCCACCTTTTGCACCGTTTGTTTCGTCGTAACTCTCATCACTGGCGTGCTGGCACGCTTGGCCTATAAGGGTTAGTTTGGTTGTGTTCCCCCTTCGTTTAACACGTTCTTCTTTTACATATTAAAACGATGCATCTGTATTTTCGTTTCCAGGTACGAATCCTCGGAAATGGTACAAGGAAGATGGCGGATGGGAATTGCACGTGGCTAGCACTATCACTGAATGGCTGTGCGCTGCAGCATTCTGCGTGTACATTTTGACATTCACCGAAGAATTTCGCGATGTTAAAGTCACTCATCCAAAGGTAGGTAGAGATAATTATCGCAATAATTGTTTTAAATAAGTTAAATTATTATATTATTAATTAACATTATTATCATATTATTAATTAACATTATTATTATATTATTAATTAACATTATTATTATATTATTAATTAAAATTATTATTATATTATTAATTAACATCATAATAATATTAGTAATTTCAAATAATTGATGTGCCATACAGTATGATACAAGTGCAGTGAAGGAGATTTTATGGCTCAAACTGAGATAAAAGTTCAAAATAAGAAAATTGCATTGCATTGAAAGATTTTAAGAAAATTATATTGTATTCTAATTGCAAATAAATAGTAGAATGCGATAGTCCAGACATACTTTTGTAGGTGACACAATATTATAGTTTATTTATTATCAGTACCACAAGTGCTACTGACTCCTGATATTAACTATCAGTTTTTATTAAATATGCGATAAGACACGATATACTGATGTACAACATATTAAATCACATTTTGATTAAAATGATAAACTGAACTCGGTTTAGTCTACATCTATTATTACTGTCACTTATTAGATTCATCGTGTTCATTCATAAATTCTTAAGAGCGAATTAATATGTAAATATTGATATTAACTAAGTTAGTCACGTAGATAATCTAAAGTAAGTTAGTGAATTTTATAAAATCAGTTATCACTTAAGTACACATGTACTCGAATGATTCTCAAATGCATTTTTCTCAAAAACGAATTTTCCAACACAGCTTTTTATCTTGGATTTTTGTCTTATTTTATAGAAATATTATATTCACTATTTCAACTCTTCCGTTATTCTATAAATAGTTCTACCTTTTTACAGTAAATTTAACATATTTTGTTTATTTATTTTTCTGTATTAAGGTTATATCCACCCTTAACCGTACAAGATTGAGCAACGAAGCGCTGAACGAAAGCCAGGACTCCGCAATGGGTCACAATCGAGATGCAACAACGATCACCTGATCGCTCATAGGCAGAGGCGCCGGTGGTTACGTCAATCTCCTCTCACACTCTCCAGTAAACACTCCATGTCCCGGTTACAGGTACCGTGAATCCCGTGAGGCCCTTTTAGACGAGGTCACACCACTGATTGCGACCACACCGCCATCCACTTGCGACGTCGAGAGGAGAACCGACGTCCTCTGCCCGGTGCAAATACATGTACACGATCCTACGATATGCGAACGACGAAGACAGACGAGCGAACAGAATGAAGCAGAAAGTAGACAAAAATGGGGTGAAGATCATTCAAGGAATTGGATCGATTTGGATGAAAATGTCTTGGATGGTTACATACTCATGGATGATTCCTGTTTAGAGTCTGGTATCGTGCCTGATGAAACGCAAGAAATTCCCTACCCAGAAGGAGCAATAGAAGTAGACGACGAGAACGATGACGCTGATAGTCACGGTAAAGAGGACTCTTCCATTTACAGCAAGACAAGAGTAGTTACAAGAAGGCCTCGAGAAGATTTCGATCTAAGTACGACCTATCCTATGGCAAACAGTCACGAAAACGCTTACAAAGAATCTAGCAGTCACACTAGGTATAGCGAGTTATATTCGGAATTGACCGTTAAGAATTATCTGGATGCTAATCGAGAAGAAGTGACCAATTATTCAGTAGCCAACAGTCATGGTGATCATAGTGTGTCGTCGGAGAACAGAGAACGAAGTTTCAGAGAAAACGCGGAAAGTGATCAGTTAGGTTGGGACATTAGACAGCAGACCAACTATGAGGTAGCCAATAGTCACAGTAACTATAGAGTGTTTTATGACAGTCAAACGCAGCCGAGGGAATTGTTACAGACGGCTTGCTGGCCGATCGAATCCTGGAGAGAACATTTAAGCTCTAATAATCGCGTGTTGGAAGATCAGAAGCAAAAATCAGCGAGTATTGGACAGATGTGTGATAATGAATCTACTAAAACTAATCATTCTGGCGCGAAAAGCGATCCAAGCTCCGAACCAGCTTGTGATATCGAACAGTGTCTTGTACAGATAGAAGAGAGTCTCTTAAATATCGAGCAGAATTTGCTTCACGTGCAAGACCTCGATATACCGGAATTGAGAAACCTATTGTACAAAAGTCCAAGTATCGAGAAGAGTCTATACGAGGTCCAGGATCTTCTGTACGCAGACGGTATTGTTCCTGTAATAAACAAGAGAAAATCTCTTGGGTCTGAAGACGAAGATGATGATGAAGAGGAAGATGAAGAAGAAGAGGAAGAAGAAGAGGAAGAGGTTTGGATAGGTCATAATATAACGATGAAAGACGACAACGAAGACGACGACGCTGGTGCTGGTGCCTTCGACGCTTCCAACGAAGAGTCATCTGACACCACTAATATAGAAGAAAACAATCAATCAGGATCAGTAGATGATCGTTCCAACACCGACTGTATAGACGGTTCTACGATTTTCCGTGAAGAAACCGCCGATCCCAATTGCAACCATGAAAAAGCCATGAACTTCATTCCAAACAGTCTTAACAAAACTTTGCCTCGAAGAATCGTTCTCGAAGGAGCCAAGGAGAATATCAGACTCTGTTCGTCAGAACCCGAAGAATCGATAACAATCGACTACAATCTGAACACCACGTGTGCTGAGAAGAAACTATTCTGCCGCGACAAGTGTCACAGTAGGACAAACTCTCTGGATGAAAATTCGACGTTTTCGAATTTGGATTCTACCGATAAACGTGATACTGGTAAAAGTTCTTTGCAAAATTTGCTATTCGAATCGACGAATGGGAATTTTCCAGATCTTACCGGGAAAGCGAAGTCGGAGGAAATGTTGCAAACACCGCAAAATAAATCTATTATGACAAATAAGAAAAGATTGAACGAGAAACGTTGGACTATCATGGACGCGAAAACGGAAGATTTTCGCAGGAAACTCGAATCTATTTCTTCTAATCGATGTTTCGCGATGTCGAACGTGAATGAGCAGAAAAGGGCGAAGATTTCGAAAGAAATTACGGTAAATACCCCGCGTCCACGAGAAAAGTCACCAAATAGAACGAAGCGTACCTCAGTCTCCGTAGAAAAGATGCAGGAGAAAGAGAAAGAGTCCGGTGGCGGTAAAAGTTCCGACAAGAGAAAGAGAAAGAAGATATCGAGCAGAAGTCAAAGTTCCTCGGAGAACGCATTAGTGCCTAGCAAACTGATCTCTCTTTCACTGTCTCTTCTCCTCGCTGCTCTGTTACAAGCAGTCAGGTGTCTGACAGATCTGGTCGAAGACGCGTTCAGGTCCGTCAGCTACGACAGAAGCGGTCTACTGCAATAACGCTATTCGCGAACGGTTTTCGTCCGGCACGAAAGCCACTCACAGAACGTAGTAGCATCTGCGAAAATATCGCGTAAGAATGGTAATGTTAGATGGCACTAACTACATTTATTTTTCGTCGCACCCCCACTTCGTATCAAATGTTTCCCACCCAAGACCAGATTTCTGTCAAGTTAACCAGACACCGTTTTACTAAACCCAGGAATCTCTTTTTATCGATGTTTAGGAGTTTTTTTAGAATTTCAATCTGATTCTAGACTTTCTAGTCTTCTGAATGTGATTAGCCGTCGCACTACCGCGTGAATCCAATGTTAAGATGCGATCCAACTGAATTTTCAAACGTAGACATTAACGATAATCGATAAATATAGCAGGTGTTTATTCTACTTTATTGATCAACAGGATTCATTATCGAGATACATGAGATAATTGTCAGTAACGAAAAGCATAGTCGCCGAGTACTGATCTATGTCACTTATGCACCACCCATAAATGTTTCCTATACAGTCTTCTAATTATCGATGATAAAAGGCCAGTCATCGTACCCAATCAATTACATCTTCTTCTAGCGAGGTCACCTTTCCAGAACGTCCAACGAAACTGGTCTTGGGTATCGCGGAGGGGAAATCGGGTCATTCTAATCCAGAGACTTCCGACCACGAAGAACCTATGATTTGCAACCATAAACGTCCAGAAGCTACAGCTGATGTCTGTGATAATCGCTATGCTTACGATCCATAATTATGTTTTTACACGGTACGCTTGCTATACGGGACAAAAAGTTTAATTGTAAGAATGATATATGATTCGTTCGTTAGTATACATGCTCGTTTAATAAGGATCCATCACGATGACGCGGAAGGCAGGCAGACTTTCCCAATTTTTCTTAATACATTTCTTTTATTTTTTTTCATATCATCGAAAATTTATCGAAAGGTGCTACCACGCGCAACGATCGAAACGCGAAAAGTTCGCGTACAACGAAGGCGGATGAGGGTCGTGTATCCCATCGGGAACGCAATCAGAACTTTTTACGAGCTTCCAAGGAGGATGTTTACGGATCGCTAGACGGGTATGTGCCAGAAACAATGACAAAGCGTGAAAACGATAGTGAACGATAATAGAAAGAAGAATGTCGCAGATAAGTCTTATTGGTGGCGCAAAGTACGGGCTAAGCATGTTACGGTATTTAGCACCGCGTACGTAACGTTCTAAAGTGCCTAAAACTCGTCGCGTATCGCGGGTACGCGAGGTGCAGTACATATTTGTCTAATTAAACTTTAATCTACCAATTTAACGCTACTTATGTCTACCTATCGTAACCCTCTTTTTCAAGGTGTAACACATTGCTGAGAGGACTAAACAAGAAAAAAAAAAATATAAAAGAAAAAAAAACAGAGAAAATAAAGAAAAGTGAAGCAAGCTGGCGAGAACGCTTACAAACGCGTTGATATCGCTCCTGTGTGTGAATCACTTTCATCCCCCTTGAGTTTTCATCCTTTCCTATCGTTCCACGCGGCGAATGGTACAAACCTCGAAGTTTATACCCGTAGTTGAACAAATTAATTTTCCTATAGTACAAATTACGAAGCTCTCATAGCAAACTTTCCGACGAAATTCGCGGATTCATTTTGATAAAGTTTATTTTCGTTTGACGTGCCGCGCTCGTGGATCCTTAAAGATCTTCAAGACATATTTTCGAAAACGTAAAATCGTTGGGATGAATGCGTAGCGAATTAAAAGGATCATCCTGCTTTTGAGGGCGGTGATACGGTATAATTAAAATCCCTTTCATTTCACGAACATATATATATACATGCATATACATATATATTTTTATTTATTTATTTAATATCAAGTTCCAATTAAAATTCCAAATTCCAAATTCAAGTTTCAAATAAAATTAAAATTAACAGATTTGAAATATGATACAAGAAAAGCGTCAAAAAAATTCCATTACATCGTACAGCGACGCTCTTAACCGAAAATCACATTATTTCCTTGCTATTAGTGTCTTTTTTCCGTTAGAGCGCATTTCCTCAATCTTCGCAACGAGATCATCCGAAAAGCTCGCGTGACTGCACAGTTCGCAATTCACATCTGCGAAGAGACGCACAGGACAGCAGCAGTATCGATCGATACCTTCATCGTGTATGGAAACGTGAGGTCGAGGCTATAGGACAGCAAGACTCTAACTTTCGAACGCATACACGTTCCACGCGGTCTCCCATATTAGAGCAACGTTGAGCCTAATCTATGTGAAACTCTCCGATGTTGCATGACCCTTATCCTCGAGATCGTTAATTTCAATTAACACCTAACCTCCAGTGGCCGCCACGACGCGAACGATAACCGATATTCGGAACAACCCGAACAAGGATATCCTAGATATAACGAGATCGATCGATCGTAGCCCCTTTAGAACTGAACTCGCCAGATGGTTGATTTAATTGATTCAACGGCTTAATGAATCCCATGTACAATCTACGGAAGGCTGAAACTTTCGGATGAAAAAGTACGATGGCCACGAGCAATCCGATCACATTGGATTGACCGGATAAAGGACGACGCTTGATATTCATGCGGACCTGTCTCTGCTGGAATTTTCAATTAAAATCCGCAAATCCAGTCCACGAGCGTAGGACACACTCGAAATAAATTAAAACGACGCAACAATAGAGGTGTCGAGAACAACTTTCGTCCGAAGCT